GGTCAGGAATTTGAGACCAGCCTGACCAAGATGGAGAAACCCTGTCTCTACTAAAAAATGCAAAATTAGCCGGGCGTGATGGCACATGCCTGTAATTCCAGCTACTTTGGGAGGCTGAGGCAAGAGAATTGCTTGAACCTGGAAGGAAGAGGTTGCGGCGAGCCGAGATCGCGCCATTGCACTCCAACCTGGGCAACAAGAGCGAGACTCTGTCTCACAAAAAAAAAAAAAGTATAAACCTTAAGTGACAGCGCAATGAATTTTGACCAACGTATTCACGCACAGAACAAACCTGACATGAGCGAGCAGCTGCAGGTAAGGGCTGGTGGGAACCCAGGGTGCATGGAATCGCCCAGGCAAGAGGGGAAGGCTGGGGGAGGGGTGAAGGAGCACTGAGGGTCAGCAAAGGCCCTGGACCTGCCTCAATGACACTCAAGAAGTCATCGCCAGGTCAACGCAGACAAACAGCACGGAGCTTCGGAACCGAATGGAATGTATGGAATGCCATGGGATGAGCCGCAAGTGAAGCGTGACTCGCCGTCGTTCTAAAGAGTCAGTGTAGGGCCGCAGGACTGTATACGGCAGAGCCAGGATACACCGAGGTCATCTGTACATATTTCTATCCGTGTATTAATCAATCCCGAGAAATCAGGTCGGACGACCAAGCACACCTACCACACTCACTGCTGTTCTCACTCGATGTCACAATCATTGAGCTTCATAGCCTAAGAACAGGCCCTGAAAAACCCTTGTCCTGCATAGTCAGAGAACAGAATGTTCCGGTCAATCAGATATTTTGACAGGAAGAGTTTCAATATAAAATCCAGCCAGGCTCGGTGTCTCATGCCTGTAATCCCAGCACTTTGGGAGGCCCAGGTGGGAGGATTGCTTGAGGCCAGGAGTTCCATACCAGCCTGGGCAACACAGCCAGACTGTCTCTGCAAAAAATTTTTAAAATTGGCCAGGCGTGGCCGGGCGCGGTGGCTCACGCCTGTAATCCCAGCAAGCTGGGAGGCCGAGACGGGCGGATCACGAGGTCAGGAGATCAACACCATCCTGGCTAACACGGTGAAACCCCGTCTCTACTAAAAAATACAAAAAATTATCCGGGCGTGGTGGCGGGTGCCTGTAGTCCCAGCAACTAGGGAGGCTGAGGCAGGAAGGCAGGAGAATGGCGTGAACCCGGGAGGTAGAGCTTGCAGTGAGCCGAGATCGCGCCACTGCACTCCAGCCTGGGTGACAGAGCAAGACTCCATCTGAAAAAAAAAAAATTGGCCAGGCGTGATCATGCATGCCTGTAGCTCCAGTTACCCAGGAGGCTGAGGCAGGAGGAACACTTTAGCCCCAGAGTTTGAGGTTGCAGTGATGCCATGACATCCAGCCTGAGCAACAGAGTAAGACCCTGTCTCAAAAAAAAAAAAAAAAAGGAGATGAAGCTGGGCGCGGCGGCTCACGCCCGCAATCCCAGCACTTTGGGAGGCCAAGGTGGGCGGATCACCTGAGGCCAGGAGGTCAAGACCAGCCTGGCCAAGATGGCGAAACCACATCTCTACCAAAAATACAAAATACCAAATATACAAAAATACCAAAAATACAAAAATGTGCCAGGTGTGGTGGCACATGCCTGTAATCCCAGCTACTTGGGAGGCTGAGGCAAGAGAATCACTTGAACCTGGCAGGTGGAGGTTGCAGTGAACCGAGATCGCGCCATGGCACACCAGCCTAGGCAGAAGAGTGAAACTCTGTCTCAAAAAAATAAATAAATAAAAAGAAAAGAAAAGAAATAAAAGAAAAGAAAAAAGAATATACTACACTGGGGAAACATGAGCACGTTTATACAAGGAAGTATATATTTCCTGAGTACACATATGAATAAAATGTGAAAACAGAACTAAAAGGATCCATCCCAAACCAAGAACAACGGTCACCTCTCAGGTACAGACAGGAGACAACTGCAGTTAGGGTGGGACTTTCACTTAATCTACAATGTTCTATTCTTTTTTAAAGAAAATACATTTATCCTTGCATGGCATAAGTGAAAGTTAAGTTTTTATAAAGGGGGTTGCCCTACAGAGCACTCGCAGCTTAAGCTTCAAATAATTCAAATAGAATGAGACTCTTCATGCAGAAAAGTACAACAAGCACATTTTTTTTTCTGGCAACACCAAAGACGCAGGAGATTTCACAGTCCCCACATGAATACCACCAGTGGGCTCTGGCTGTGTGGTCAAAACCCTAAAAAAGAGGAAATTCAGTGTATACTTATAAGGCACAACAACCGCTCTTTCAAACCAACCTTAGTGAATGTGTAAGTCACACACATAGTCTCTGGACGATATTCAAAGACTTAACTTTTTTCTTTGCTGTTTTTGTTGTTTTTTTTTTTTTTTAATTTGAGATGGGATTTCGCTATGTTGCCCAGGCTGGTCTCTAGCACCTGGGCTCAGGCAATCCTCCCTCCTCAGCTTCCCCAAGTGCTGTGATTTCAGGCATGAACCACAGTGCTTGGTCTCAAGGCTGAGGTTTTCTCACTGCAGCCCACCCAATCAGGGTCCCCACCAACACACATTCCCTTGACATTGCCTGCTTTGGGCAAATTACTTACCTCTGGATTTTAGTTTTCTCAGTGTAAAAAGACTGCTAGGCCAGGCCCACTGGCTCACGCCTGTAATCCCAGCACTTTGGGAGGCCGAGGGGGGTAGGTCATGAGGTCAGGACATCGAGACCATCCTGGCTAACACAGTGAAACCCTGTCTCTACTAAAAATACAAAAGAGTAGCCAGGCGTGGTGGAGGGCGCCTGTAGTCCCAGCTACTCAGGAGGCTGAGGCAGGAGAATGGTGTGAACCCGGGAGGCAGAGCTTGCAGTGAGCAAGATCCAGCCACTGAACTCCAGCCTGGGCGACAGAGCGAGACTATGCCTCAAAAAAAAAAAAAGAAAAAAAAGACCTCTGCTATACCACTTCACCCCCCTGCCAGGATGATGACCAAGTTTCAACCAGAAGGACAGGCTACGTCCTGAGAGTCTGTGAGCCCCACTTTCAGACTTGCCTGGTTACCAGAAAGGGCACTGTGAAGCGCTCCCTTGTCCCAGCTACCCCAATCTGTGGATCCCATTAGCACTCGTGATAAAATCACCACTGCCCCCAGAAAAAGCCAGCTACCTACAGGAATTCCAGGCCACATCAAAGGGAGGGCAGTCTCCCAGAGACACAGCTCCCTCGGGCGTACACAGCTCAGACTATCTCTAAATCACACCATTATGGTAGCCTCTGGAGTCTACTTCCGTGAGTCCTGAAGAAAATACAGTCCCCTATACCTGCACAGGACCCCTGAACCACCACCCCTCCAGCAACACCAAATTGCTTTACAAACTGAGGTAGCAGCCGCATTCCGATCCAATCACAGCCTATGATCCAATCACAGCCTACCGTTCCTAAGTAACCCCTCGTTCCTAAGTGACTCCTCAGAAGGAGTCCCACCCGGGGCCCACGCTGGCCTCCAACATGTGACTTCATGGACACAATGTTCTAACCATTGAGAACTATCACATGCCCCCCTTACACTGATACAACGGAAAGGAAAAAGTAAGACCCATTCTAGAAGGACCTTCTTTCTAGACACAGTCTTCACCTCGAGGATGCCCACCCAATGCAAAAATCCCTCCCCTGCTCCCCACTGCCGTTTCTCCCTGACGAAGAAACTGTCTACCAACCCTCTAGAACTCATTTCAGTCATCACCTCCTCAGCGACACCTTGCCAGACCTCCCCGCAAGGGGATTCCTTGTGCCCCCACCAAGAAGAAACCGTAACTCACACCAACACCCAACTACATCTCTTCTCTGGCAGCGAAGGAACATCCAGAAATAACGGGCACCCTCCTGTATTCCTTCTAATGTTTAGTCTCATTAACCCAAATCCCTTAAAGAGAAATACAGGAGGCCAGGTGCAGTGGCTCACGCCTGTAATCCCAGCACTCTGGGAAGCCGAGGTGGTTGGATCACCCGAGGTCAGGAGTTCGAGACCAGCCTGGCCAACATGGTGAAACCCCGTCTCTACTAAAAATACAAAAATTAGCCGCGCGTCGTGGTGGGTGCCTGTAATCCCAGCTACTCAGAAGGCTGAGGCAGGAGAATCGCTTGAACCTGGGAGGCGGAGGTTGCAATGAGATCGCACCATTGCACTCCAGCCTGAGTGACAGAGTGAGAATCTGTCTCAAAAAAAAAAAAAAAAAGACATAAAAAAGACATACAGACCAGGCACAGTGGCTCATGCCTGTACTCCCGGCACTTTGGGAGGCCAAGGCAGGAGGACTGCTTGAGGCCAGGAGCTCCAGACCAGCCTGGGCAACATAGCAAGATCCCATCTCTACAAAAATAAAAAAATTACCGGGCGTGACTGCACCCGCCCGTAGTCCCAGCACTTTGGGAGGCAAAGGCGGGAGGATCACTTGAAAGAGAGAGAAATAACAGCTACACATCTATAGATTCGGTTCACAGATGAGAAAACAGAGGTCCTGAGAGGTGAAATCACTGGCCCAAGACCACACAACTGACAAGACCTTGGGAGAGAGGAGGTGGCTAGGAAAGGAGCCCAAGTCCGGGGAAGTGGCCCCCAGGGCCATGGCTCAGCGTGACCGGGCACGGCAGAAGAGCAGAGCCCCAGGACCAGGGCGAGGAGGAAACTGTCCCCGAGGACGCCTCTGAGAGCCCCGGGAACGCGCCTCGGAACGTGGCCAGCTGTAACCTGGACAGGGCTCTCCCGGCGCAGGAGGGCAGGGGACCCCGAGGGACGGAGGCGCGAGAGAGCACGGGGACCCCCAAAGGACAGGCGCGCGGGAGGGCAGGGGGACCCCCGAGGGACTGGGGCGCGGGGCCAAATGTGGGGCGCGGGGGCAGGAAACGAGTCGGGGACCGAGCGCGGCGGCTGAGCCCCGTCCGCCGAGGGTGGTCGGCCCGCGCGCCCAGGGCAGGTGGGGGCTACCGTCACCCCACGCCCTACCTGCCGCCGGGGGATCCTCCTCCTCGTCAGCCTCCGCCTCAGTTGCCGCCCCAACTGCAGCCGCAGGCAGCGGGTCCATCGCGCGGCCAGTCATGTGAGCCCGCGCTCCCACGTGACTTCCTCCCGCGCCGCGCGGCCGCACCGCCCTGCCGCGCCGCGTCCGCGCCCCGCCCACACCCCGCCTGGCCACGCCCCGTCCCCGGCGCGCCACGCCCACAGCCCGCCCCTGCTGGGCTCGCCACGCTCCTCGCCCGGCCTCGCCTCGCCTACAACTCGCCTAGCCACGCCCACATTCCCCTCCCCGTCCACGTGGACACGGAGCCGGCTGGCGGCGCACATTACCTCCGCCTCAGGTTGGACCTCCGGGCTCGCAGGTGCATTGCCTCAGGCGCAAGCCGGCAACCACCGAACCCTCGTTCACTCCCATCTCTCCTCGCCCAGTCACGCCCTTGTTCGCTCATTCACCGGTCACACTGGGGTTCAATGACTCGCACTTCCTCATTCATCCACCCACCCACTCATTCGCTCACCCACGCAGTGCATCCTGCATTCATTCATTCACCCACTCACTCGCTCACTCACTGCATCCTGCATTCATTCATTCACCCTCTCACACACTCACTGCATCCTGCATTCATTCATCCACTCACTCACTCACAGCATCCTGCATTCATTCATTCACCCACTCACTCACTCACTGCATCCTGCATTCATTCATTCACCCACTCACTCACTCACTCACTGCATCCTGCATTCATTCATTCACCCACTCACTCACAGCATCCTGCATTCATTCATCCACTCACTCACAGCATCCTGCATTCATTCACCCACTCACTCACTCACTGCATCCTGCATTCATTCATTCACCCACTCACTCACTCACTGCATCCTGAATTCATTCATTCACCCACTCACTCACTCACTGCATCCTGCATTCATTCATTCACCCACTCACTCACTCACTGCATCCTGCATTCATTCATTCACCCACTCACTCACTCACTGCATCCTGAATTCATTCATTCACCCACTCACTCACTCACTGCATCCTGCATTCATTCATTCACCCACTCACACACTCACTGCATCCTGCATTCATTCATTCACGCACTCACTCACTCACTCACTGCATCCTGCATTCATTCATCCACGCACTCACTCACTCACTCACTGCATCCTGCATTCATTCATCCACCCACCCAGTCACTCACTCACTGTATCCTGCATTCATTCATTCATCCACTCACACACTCACTGCATCCTGCATTCATTCATCCACTCACTCACTCACAGCATCCTGCATTCATTCACCCACTCACTCACTCACTGCATCCTGCATTCATTCATTCACCCACTCACTCACTGCATCCTGCATTCATTCATCCACCCACCCAGTCACTCATTGCATCCTGCATTCATTCATTCACCCACTGACACACTCACTGCATCCTGCATTCATTCATTCACCCACTCACTCACACCCTCACCCCTCACTGCATCCTGCATTCATTCATCTACCCACCCACTCACACAGTGCATCCTGCATTCATTCATTCACCCACCCACTCACTCACTGCATCCTGCTTTCATTCACGCAACCACTCACTCACTCACCGCATCCTGCATTCATCCATTCACCCACTCACTCACTCACTGCATCCCGCATTCATTCACACAACCACTCACTCACTCACTGCATCCTGCATTCATTAATTCACCCACTCACTCACTCACTGCATCCTGCATTCATCCACCCACCCACTGGCTCACTCAGGTTTGCTGGCTGCCACCAGGAGGTCAGGAAGCCCTGTGCTGGGTGCTGAGAATACAAAGATGTTTCCTGTGCGTTCCTCAATCTGGAGGAGGCACAGATGGCCAGAGTGGAGCAAGTGTGCTGACTGTTCCAAAACGGGAGCAAGGCTGTGGGGCACACCGCAGAAGAGGGTGAAGGGTGAAGGGCAATCCCTTCCCTACATGGGTGAAGGGATCCCTGGATGGGTGGTACCGGAGTCAGGGCTGGAGGAATGAGGAGTTAAGCAGGAGGGCACGAAGGCTCTGAGACATCAGCTGCAGATGCTGTGGTCATTCCAGGCTAAAAGTGTGGGGGTTGGCATGGAGATTGATAGGCCTGCATCAGGAAGGGACTTGTTTCCAAAGAAAGGGTCCTCGACCTTCTTTTTATATTTACTTACTTATTTATTTATTTATTTATTTATTTATTTATTTTGAGACGGAGTCTCACTCTGTTGCCTGGAGTGGAGGGCAGTGACATGATCTTGGCTCACTGCAACCTCCGCCTCCCAGGTCAAGTGATTCTCCTGTCTCAGCCTCCCGTGTAGCTAGTATTACAGGCGTGTGCCACCATGCCCAGCTAATTTTTGTATTTTTAGTAGAGACGGGGTTTCACCATGTTGGCCAGGCTGGTCTCGAACTCCTGACCTCAAGTGATCCGCCCACCTCGGCCTCCCAAAGTGCTGGGATTACAGGCTTGAGCCACTACGCCCGGCCATCCTGGACCGTCTAACACTGATGTCACACAATGTCCGGGGAGTTGATTACAGTACGAACAGCCCAGAACCATGTCAGGTCCTAGGAAGCGTCCCCTTCTCACAAGGTAAGTAGTTCCTCTGGCTATAGCTGCTGGACCCTGCCTCCGTAACAGATGACGGCACCTAGGACACTGTGGGGTCCCAGCACCCCAGGACCTCCATGCGAGCAGGCACACCAATGATGCTCTCTCTACCATAACTTGTGAGGCTGAGGTTGCAGTGAGCCAAGATGGAGATGTCCTTCTGAAGTGGATACATAACAGCTTTCCCAAGGCACAGTGGAACACAGCAGGATCCTGTGACCTCCCCACAATATCTGATAGCTGCTTCCTTCCTCCACCCTCGCTTCCTTCCAGCTGCTGTTGCCATCAAATAATGTACTCAGCACTTTCCCTGATGCCACGCACACATATATACTCTGCTCATTTCCTGATCATATTTTTATTAGAGGCAGGGTCTTGCTGTGTTGCCCAGGCTGGACTTTAGTGGCCCAATCATAGCTCCCTATGGCCTCAAACTCCTGGCCTCAAGCAGTCCTCCCACCTCAGCCTCCCAAGTAGCTGGGAGTAAGGCACACGCCACTATGCCCAGCTGTTTGCTACATATTTTTGGTCTCAAATTAGATTATAAAATATTTACTTATTAAATTTTTAGCTGGGCGCAGTGGCTCACGCCTGTAATCTCAGCACTTTGGGAGGCTGAGGCGGGCGGTTCACCTGAGGTCAGGAGTTTGAGACCAGCCTGGCCAAGATGGGGAAACCCAGTCTCTATTAAAAATACAAAAATTAACTGGATGTGGTGGCAGGCACCTGTAATCCCAGCTACTCGGGAGACTGAGGCAGGAGAATCACTTGAACCCACGAGGCAGAGATTGCAGTGACCCGAGATTGCGCCATTGTACTCCAGCTTGGGCGAAAAGAGGGAGACTTCGTTGAAAAAAAAATTTTTTTTAAATTCATTGTACTCAGGTGGGCACAGTGGCTCCTGCCTATAATTCCAGCACTTTGGGAGGTCGAGGCAGGAGAATCACTTGAGCCCAAGAATTCTAGACCAGCCTGGGCAACATAGTGAGACCCCATCTCTAAAAAAAAAAAAAAAATTAGCCAGGCATAATGGCACACACCTCTAGTCCCAGCTACCATGAAGGCTGAGGCAAGAGGATTGCTTAAGCCCAGGATGTCAAGGCTGCGGTGAGCTGTGATCGCATCACTGCACTCCAGGCTGGGTGATAGAGCGAGTCCCTTTGTCTAAAAATAAAAAATAAAAATAAAATTGTTGCACTAAAAACCGTAGAGCAGCCGGGTACGGTGGCTCATGCCTGTAACCCCAGCAGCACTTTGGGAGGCCAAAACCAGCAGATCACCTGAGTTCAGAAGTTCAAGACCAGCCTGGTCAACACAGGGAAACCCCGTCTCCAACAAAAATACAAAAATTAGCTGGGTGTGGTGGCGCACGCCTGTAATCCCAACTACTGGGGAAGCTCACGTGGGAGAACCACTTGACCCGGGGAGGCAGAGGTTGCAGTGAGCTGGAGTGGCAATGAGGCGAAAATCTTTGGCTCACTGCAATCTCCTCAACTTTTCAC